ATGCCTTTGCATAGTCAATAAAACACAAGTAAACATCTTTCTGGTATTCTCTGCTTTCAGCCAGGATCCATCTGACATCAGCAATGATATCCTTGGTTCTGCGTCTTCTTCTGAGTTGGGCTTGAATTTCTGGCAGTTCCCTGTCGATATATTGCTGCAGCCACTTCTGAATGACCTTCAGCAAAATTTTACTTGCCTGTGATATTAATGATATTGTTCAATCATTTCTGCATTCAGTGGGATCACCTTTCTTGGGAATAGGCATAAATATAGATCTTTTCTAGTCGGTTGGCCAGTTTTCTTAGCAGTTCAGAAAAGTGTAATTTTACCAAAATTGATTCAAGAAGAGTTAGAAAATCCAGATAGTCCTATAAGCTTAAACAATTGAGTTAAGAATTAATAATCACTATTTTCTTCTCTGCTTCCTCCTCTATTATCGTTGGTGTTAGTTCCTGTCGAGTTGATTCTGAATCATGGTGACCCCATAGTGCAGAGTAGAACTGCTCCATAGGGCTTTCAAGACTGTGAACTTTCAGAAAGCCAATCACTAGGCCTTTCTTCCACAGTGCCTCTGGGTGGATTTGAACTGTCATTTTTTTTACTAGTCATTGAGCACTTAACCCTCTTTGCCATTCAGGGACTCCTCCTCCTCCTTACCCCTCTCCAGTATATGCCCATGTAATTTTACAGATGAGTTCCATCAAGTTCAGGACACTGGCTTTGAAGTCAGACACCTATTTTAAATCCTACGTCCCATTAGCCAATGGTATGTGGCTTTGCACTAGTGACTTAACTCCACTAGGTCTCAGTTTTCCATTTGTAAATGAGGGAAGGTATTTCCAGTGTATAGTCGGGTGGTGAAGGTTAACTTGGATACTGCACATAAAGCAGCAAATAGTATAAGTTTATTCAGTAGATTATTGAAAAATAAACATCCTTCTCTGAAAGGTGACTGCCTCTTCAGGCTGGGCTGGTTGCAGATGTCACTTCTTTTTCTAAAGTGCAAGAGGATTTTCCCAGGGAGGCACACTTGTTTGTGTTGGTGCCATGGTGCCTAGGCTTACGTCTGTGTCTGCCCGTCCAGGGGACGACCACTTTGGAAGGAGAGTCATCACGTTCAGCTGCTGCCGCCTGCCCCCTTCTCATGAGCTCAACCACAAGCGGCTACTGGAGTAAGTGTCTCACCTTTCTCTCCTCTGCATGGTCACTCTTTCCTTCTCCTTCGCTCCACCTGAGTCACCTTCACATGTGCCTGATCCCTCCCCAGTCCTGGGCTTTCTTTGTGAACTTTGAACACTGTGCGCATTGTTGGTGGGGTAGGCTCTTTGCTCAGATGAGTCCGTCCGTCTGAGGGCCATCTGCAGAACTTTCCAGAAAAGAGAAGTGCTTGACCTCCTCCCCAGTCACAGGTGCCATGTGGGCCTTTCCCAGTGCTGTCTCTGCAGTCTGGGAGTTGGGGTTGGTTTCCTCTCAGCTGGCCATGTGATGGTCACCCTCCCTCCAGAGTCGTGAGCAATCCATTGATCCTGAACTATGCATCTCCCACGAGACTACAAGTCCTCCCACGGGCCTCCTCTCTGAGGACCTCCTCCCGTGCACAAGGCACTAGATGGACTGTGTGGTTAAAATATACATTTGCCATTTTAACCATTTTTAAGGGTATGATATTAGTTACACTCACCATGTTGTGCAATCATTACCACTATCCATTTTCAAAAGTTTTTCATCATCCCAGACAGAAACTCGGTGGTCCCTGGCTGGCGCAAATGGTTTGTACTCTACTACTAACCAAAAGGTTAGCAGTTCGATCCCATCCAGCAGTGCATGGAAGAAAGCCTTGCAAACTGCTTTCATAAAGATTGTTGTTAGTTGCTTTCGAGTTGATGTGGGACTGCTTGGGTGGCGCAAATGGTTAAGGGCTTGAGCACAAGGTGAAAGTTAGGCAGGTAGAACACACCCAGAGTCACCTAGGAAGACAGACTTGGTGATCTACTTCTGAAAGTTTACAGCCTTGAAAACCCTGTGGAGCCTACTCTGCACAGATGGGGTCGCCATGAGTCTGTAAAGATTACAGCCAAGAAAATCCTGTGCAGCAGTTCTACTCTACAACACGTGGGGTTACCATGAGTTGGAAACGACTCAATGGTAAGGTTTTTTTTTTTCGCTCAATATCCCTTCAACAATAACTACCCATTTTTCTTCCCACCCAGCCCCTGGAAACCACTAGTAAACTTTTGTCTCTGAATTTGCCTGTTCTAGATAGGAAATAGGATTCTTCTTTTATTATCAGTTAAGTCAGATGAGGTCATACTGGAGTAGGGTGCTGTATGGATTGAATTATGTCCCCCCCGCAAAATATATGTTAAATATACTACTATAGCAGTGATTATAATCCCATTTGGGAATAGGGTTTTCTTCGTTGTGTTAATAAGACAGTATTAGTATAGTGTGTGTGTTGAGGCAATGTCTCTTTTTTTGTTTGTTGTTGAAATTTTTTTTTTATTGTACTTTAGATGGAGGTTTACAGAACAAGCTGGCTTCTCATTAAACAATTAGTACACATATTATTTTATGACATTGGTTAACAACCCCACGACATGTCAACAATTTCCCTTCTTGACCTTGGGTTCCCAATCATCAGCTTTCCTGTCCCCTCCTGCCTTCTAGCCCTTGCCCCTGGGCTGGTGTGCCCGTTTAGTCTCGTTTTGTTTTATGGGCCTGTCTAATCTTTGGCTAGAGGGTGAACCTCAGTAGGGACTTCATTACTAAGCTACAAGGGTGTCCAGGGGCCATACTCTTGGGGTTTCTCCAGTCTCTGTCAAGCCAGTAAGTCTGGTCTTTTTTTGTGAGTTAGAATTTTGTTCTACATTTTTCTCCAGCTCTGTCTGGGACCCTCTGTTGTGATCCCAGTCAGAGCAGTCAGGGGTGGTCACCAGGAACCATCTAGTTGTACTGGACTCAGTCTGGTGGAGGTTAGGCAATCTCTTTTGAGATATAAAATGAGCAGATTAAAACCAAGACAGTTGCTGTTGAGTCGATTCCAACTCATAGCAACCCTACAGGACAGAACAGAACTGCCCCCATAGGGTTTTCTAGGCTGTAATCTTTACAGGAGATCACCAGGTCTTTCTCCTGCAGAGCCCCTGAATGGGTTTGAACCGCTGACTTTTGGTAGCAGCTGAACCCTTACCTGTTGTGCCACCGGAGCTCCTTGCAGTTCAGGTAGTTGGTACTTTTGCTAGAGGGCACTCTGACGTCACTTAGACATCAAATGACATCCTTTTGTACATAGTAAGGATCCTTCTGAGGGGTCCCAGCGATGAAGGGCCAGCCGAGCACTGCGGATGGGCCGAGGCTGCTGGATTTTTCTCTGGAAGCAGCTCTGGGAACTTTGGTGCACGTAAGGATCCTGGCAGGGTGCCTTTGCAGGGCACACGGTGAAAGCGGGTGTTCCCTGTCCACAGCCTCAGGGACAACAGACCTGAGTTCCCGGGAGTTTACCTGAATGGATTGTCGAGCAAGTGACGCCTGTCACCACCCACAGGGGAGGAATCCCATCATATGGTGGATAGTAACCCACTACATAGTTGCAAGCGTTGGGCTCTCCAAGAAAGACATGACTTAAGCACAGGCACTGGGTGGAACAATGCTCTATTCACATAGAGGCAGAGTAAGGTCAGCTTGTGTAGTGGGCATTGGTCCTCATGGCCAGTGGTCACTTCCTGAAGCTGATGCAGGGAGATGGTCTGCATGCACGCATCTTGTGCTGGAGGACAAGGGCCCTGTTTTCTCCCTGCTGGGAGCAGATATGGAAGTGGGGTTAGCCAGGTGCCATACAATACACCTGGGTGTAATGCCATATAATGCAGTTCCTGGAAATGTTGACGTGTGCTTAGGACAACAGGGGAGTGATGTGCTGCTATGGGATGTGTTCTGGCTCAAGATGCCCCGGGGAAAGGAGACAGTGCACACTCTCATTCCATCCAAAAAGCCAGGCCACCACATTTGGCCCTCAGAGGTGGCACTTCGACTGCTCCCTTCCACATGGGTCATTTACAAAATGCATGCCTAGGTGATGGTATGTGGGACTTGATGGGTGACCTCTTGGCCAGCTCAACATCAGGGACCACCTGCCGACATGATGGTGGAGGTCTGAATGGTCCTGGAGACCTTCCTCCTACAAATGGCTAGATGCGGTCTTCTGCCTTCGTGACGCCAAGACAATTTTCTCCAGGTGTGGCCAGGAGGGATCATGGGCAATGCAGCCACTAAGTGTGATAAATGGGAGCTGTGCTGTGCTTACACTGTTGGAGAAGGTCAGATGGTAGAGGCAGTGCGCAGAGTCAGGATTCTACCTTTACGGTAAAAACAAGTGTCAGGAAGTTGATCTGGATAGGAGGAGCTGCTGGCTTCTAGAGGTGCTGCAGAACAGAAGGGAGGTGGACAGAAAGTTATACGGCTTTGTGGATAAAAGCTGGGCTGTGGAGTCCAGTGGTTCTGGGTTTGAATCCCAGATGACCTTGGGTGAGTTACTCAAAGGCTCTGAACCTCAGCTGTCATCAAAGGTAGGGAGATGGCTCCCCCTAGTGCCTGGCTCTGGATGTAACACTGCATGGCCCAGGGCTGCACCCCAGGGAGTAGCCACGAGCTTCCATGGAGAGGGGACATATTTGGTTTTGATAAGAGGGTGGGTCTGTAACCAGGTCTCGTGTTTGCACCCAGGTATCTGAAGTACACGTTGGACCAGTATGTAGAGAACGATTACACCCTCATCTACTTCCACTATGGGTTGAACAGCCGGAACAAGCCATCCCTGGGCTGGCTCCAAAGTGCCTACAAGGAGTTTGACCGGAAGTGGGTACCCGAGAGCCTTCCTGGCATGCAGCTGGTGGGCCGCACAGTGTGGGCTGCATGTGGCAGGGGAGGGGGAGGTGACACGAGGGGCCACAGACGGTGCAGTGGGAAAGGAGAGAGCTACCGAGGGCCAGACAGGGTGGTCTGGGTGGGGATCACTGCCCTCAGGGCCAGGGGCTCTGTCCAGCTTTGGCCCCTAGGGCAAGGGTCGGCAAACTTGTCCTATAAAGGACCAGACAGTGAATAATTCAGCTCTGAGGTCCATACGCTCTCTGTCGCAACTCCTCACCTCTGCTGCTGTAGCGCAAAATCAGCCTTAGGCAATTCGTAAATGAATAGGTGGGCCATGTTCTAATAAAACTTTATTTATGGACACTGAGATGTGAATTTCCCATCATCCGCATGTGCCATGAAATGTTCTTCTTTTGATATATTCCCTAACCATGTAAAAACGTAAAGCCATGCTTAGCCTCTGCAGGGTTCAAAATCAGGTGGTGGACTGGACTTGGTCCTCGGTCCCTAATCTGCCATCTCCACAGCACTTTACAGTTTGCAGGGGCTTTCCCCTGTTTGGTCTCGGTGAGGTGGGTGGTCCCCATTTATAGATGAGGACAAAGAGGCCCCAGACAGCAAGTCACTTACCTGTGGTCAGTCCACCCTGGGCCCCGCCTCCCTCTCCCACTCTACACTCCTTAATGTCCACAGCCGCCTGGAACCAGCAGGCTTTTTCTGAGCACCATCTTGCCTAATGATCGACTTTGTGATTTATTTGCCTAATGGACTGCACTGCTGGGCGTTAATGTCGATACCCTGAATGCCTCTGCGTTTTCCTTCTTCAAAGTCTTCTTTTTTTTATTTTTATTTTTTATTGTGCATTAGATGAAGGTTCACAGAGCAAATTAGTTTCTCAGTGAACGACTCATACACATATTGCTTTGTGACATTGGTTGCCAACCCCGAGACGTGTCAACACTCTCCCCTTCTCGACCTTGGGTTCCCCATTTCCATTTGTCCAGCTTTCCTGTCCTCTCCTGCCTTCTCATCCTTGCCCCTGGGCTGGTGTGCCCATTTAGTCTCATATACACGGTTGAGCTACACGTATTATTGTTTGTTTTATAGGGCTGTCTAATCTGTGGCTGAAGGGTATTCTTCAAAATCTTCTCAAACCTATAATGGAAACTTGATTTTCGAGTGAATAAGGCAGCGGGAGGCAGTGCCTGGATTTTCCTGGAAGCCCTCCCTCCCCTACCTCCTCCACTGCCTTTGGGATCTTGCTATCATGGTGCAAACGGTTTGCACTTGACCACTAACCTAAAGGTCAGCAGTTTGAACCCACCCAGTGGCACTGCAGAAGAAAGGCCTGGTGATCTTCTTCCATTAAGATTACTGCCAAGAAAACCCTACAGAGCAGTTCTACTTGAGTTTTAAGATGCAGGATCACCATGAGTTGGAATTGACCCGACAGTAACTATTTTGGGTTTTGTAGGCTATCATTGTGAGTAGAACCTTTGGAGTCATTTCTTGATTTCCTGAAGCTTTGTTGCTGCACTTTTGCAATCATATACTGGGCACCTGTTATGTGTCCGGCCCTGTGGGGTGTCCGAGACGACCAAGGCCCAGCTCCAGCCCTCCATGAAGCCTTTCTGGATTGTCCCTGGAGAACCAGTGGCCCCTCCTCCTTAGCCCCACTGTCCCAGAGCAGATGCCGATCCCAGCACCTCACAGCGGCGTGTTTGGGAACAAGTCTGCCCCCGCCCCAGGCTGTGACCCCTGGCTCCTCTGTCCCCCTCACGCACAGGAGAGGGTCTGCAAGCTCTTGATAAGTGTTTGGTGGTTGGTGGAGGAGTGATGTTGGACCAGCAATAAGTAATGAGCTTCCAGCTGGGTAATTTCAGGAGAGCTTCGTTGTAATTCTGGGTAATTCTGCATGGAGGAGGTGGCCTTTGGCCTGCCCCTGGAATGACAAGCAGGACATTGCTATTTGGGAAACAGAGAAGATTGTTTCTGGAACAAGGTGTGACCAGACACAAGAAATGGCAAGGTGGACAGGCTGCAGCAGTTCGGAGGGCTAGACTCAGGGGTTCTTGTGGGAACCGTAGGGTAAGGCAGCAAAGAAGGGAGGATGGGTTGTGGTCCTGAGGCCCATGCTGAAGATGCTTGACTTTGCTTAGGAAGCAGTGGGAGCCATGGAAGGTGCTTGAGGGGGAGTGAGTGACATGCTGAAGTGGCAGTTTTAGGAAGCTCAGAGGACAGCAGAAGGGCATGCATAGGTGGCCTTTCTTGAGCTGAAACGGATACACATTTTCCCCTTTCCCATGTGACCAATAAAAGTGCACCCCAGTTTCCTTGAAGTGAGAGGCCCTTGCCCGACTTCCATCTGCCAGAAGTCAGCCAAAGAAATGAACTGGGGAAAATCAGCCAGCGGTGGTTTCCCCTTTCCTGTCAGGGGATGAGGGGGGCGTGGGGTGGGCTGCTGGTGTCCCACTTCAACAGTGGATACCTTCCACTGGGGAGAAAGTGTTGGAATCCCTGAAAGTGTAGCTAAGGCTTGCCAATTGCAGATGTTTGCCATCTGGCTGGGGACTTGGGCTCCGTGTCACAGGGAGTGACGTCACCAGGTGGGGCATGGAGGCCAGCCCTGACCAGTGTGGGGAGGCCGTCTGTGCATTCACGCTGAAGGGCGTGGATGAGGGACGCCGTCCAGGGGAGCGAATGGGAACAGAGACTTCCTGGTGAGCGGTCTTTTAACCAGGCTCAGAGGAAACTAGGCAGCATGAAAGGAAGGTCATGGTCTTGGTCAGTTTGCAAACAGAAGGAGGCAGACTTGTTTCGTGTGGCTCTCCCACTTCCCATGAGGATGGACCAAGACCGATGAAGGGAAAGCATCCTAGGTGTCAGAGCCGTCCAACAGCAAAGCGTCTGCCTAGGGGGTAGTGAGTTCCCTGTGACTGGAGGTATACCATCCAATGAGAGGAGATTTATGCAGCCATGGTTTTTAGCCAGCCAGTTTCCTGCATTCTTTTCTGTTCTCTCTGCCCTTGCCTCTCACCCTCCAGGCTTTCTTCCAGTCTGCTCTTTTTAAGGAAGAACTGATGGGTTGCGAAGTTTGTGACCCCCTTCCCCACCAGTGTGAGAGAATGCCTGTAAAAACACCAAACCAAACGTGTTGCCGTTGAGTCAATTCCAACTCATAGCGACCCTATAGGACAGAGCAGAGCTGCCCCACAGGGTTTCCAAGGAGCTGCTAGTGGATTTGAACTGCCAGCCTTTTGGTTAGCAGGTGAGCTCTTAACCACTCTGCCACCAGGGTGGGGTCTAATCCAAGATATGAGGAGTTCTGCAAACTGTCAAGTGCTGTGTGAGTGCCTGGAGTTGGCAGTGAGCGCGGGGCCCTGGATCCTGATTCTCCCTGTGTTTCAGCCTCTTCTCTTTTTTGTTTGACTTCTTTAAGTTGACTGTTGAGATGGAACGTTCCGAGAGAACACGTGTGTGAAGATGACCGCTTTGCGGTAATTCGGGTTGGGGTGTGTCTCAGAGTATTAGCAGCCTGAGGCTCTGCATTTCCCTCCTCAGGTACAAGAAGAACTTGAAGGCCCTGTACGTGGTGCACCCCACCAATTTCATCAAGATTCTGTGGAGAATTTTCAAACCCCTCATCAGGTGGGTGTCACCCTGGGGACCATCTCCCTAGGGCAAAGAGTTCATTTCTGGGTGTCAACGGGAAGGGCTGGCCCTGTCTGGGCACCCAGAGGTCCTGTCTCTGAGGCACCCGTGTTCCTGGGCCACCCCACATCCCTGTGGGTCTGCGATGGGTCAGAGTCTGGCCGAGGTTGTCCGCTATGACCCACTGACCATCACAGACAGGAGTGCCGGCTGGTGATACTTGCAAGGTTCACACGGGGTGTTTTAAATGCCCCCTGGGCCAGAGCAATGACATTATGCAGCCGTGTCAGGGTCCCCAAGTCCACCTTCATGTTGGAGTCCCCAAGTCCACCATCAGGATCAGTGATTCACTAGCAGGATTCACAGAACTCAGACCACCTGTTATACTCACGGTTGCAGTTTATTACAGTGCGAGAAGACTGGTGGAAATTAGCCAAGGTAAAAAGTGCGTGAGGCAGTGTCCAGGAGTGACCAGGGGCCCCTCCAGCTGTCCTCTCCCTGTGGAGTCATGTGGATGTACCTGATTCTCTCAGCAACGATGAGTCACAACACGTACAGAGGATTGCCAGCCAGGCAAGGTCAGCTGAGCTTCAGTGTCCAGGGTTTTTGTTGGGAGTCAGTCACACGGACACGGAGTGTCCGTGTGGCTGACCTTAGTTCCTCAGTCTCTAGCCCCTCCAGTGGTCAAACTGATACTGCATGGCCCAAGGCCCCCACCATAGACCATGATGTTAGCACAGACCATCTGTTGTGGCCTGAAGCCCCAGGTAAACAAAGACACTCTTAACAGAGAGGACATAACCAGGGCTTAGAGGCCACCTCCCAGGAGCTGTTCAATGACCAGACCTTTAGAACGTGCAGGGTTCAGAAAACCCAGACCTGAGTCAGCCCTTGACTGCCCAGACCCAGATCGAGGCCTGCAGAAATGAAGCTGATGGTGGGGAGAAGCAGTGTCCATCGATTCCTCCATGCTGATTCTCCCCCCACGGCCCCAGCCTGCCTCACTAGTGGAGGCGAGAGCTCAAGGGGAAGGGGCAGCCTGGCAGAGGCCGGGAAGACGTCTTCCCTCTCCCTCCATATCGGCCATATGCATCAGGCACAAACTGCAGAGAGACCCAGAGACGCATTTAATGCTCACGGCTCTGTGGGCGCCTGTGGGTCAGGCCCAGTCCCTGCCTGGGGGCTCTTGGTTCAGTGGGCCCAGACGCTCTTGACTGAGATTAGAATGCTTAGGTGCAGCGGCTGCTTCTGTGAGAGGGGGGAGCCGTGTGGAGGGTGGAGCTGTTGTGGGTGCTCTGAGATGCCCCCCTTGTTAACAAATCCTGCTGCAACCCTCAACTGCACCTCAATGTTGTGGAAGGCGTAAGTCTCATCTCCTTCTGGAACTGAGTTAATGAACAGTCAGGAGTTCGAAAGCTTTGCTGGCAGGGGCTTGAGCCTCCCTCCCCACCAGGGGTCAAAGCAGTCATCCCAGAGAAACTCATCTGTGGGTCAGATATGAGTCTCCTCGGGTCCGCAGGCTCCACTTCAGAATATTCTGGAGCAGCGGACTTGAGTTTATTCCCGTCTGTTTGTTGCACTAGAATTCCCGGCAGTGTGTCCCACCTGGTTACCTGTGCTGCAGAGGAGCACCACTGGGGAGGTGGGGTCCGCACGTTTTGTGCTGTTTCACCGGCACCCGTGTGCTGGTGCCATAGTTGATGCAGCAAGGAAGCCCGTCCTGGCTCCTCCCTTGTCCAGAAAAGTTCAGACGCTCTAGAGTTCTGTTGTCGGGTGCTGTCGAGTCGGTTCTGACCCATAGCGACCTTATGTACAACAGAACGAAACACTGCCTGGTCCTGCGCCATCCTCACAATCGTTGCTATATTTGAGCCCATTGTTGCAGCCACTGTGTCATTCCATCTTGTTGAGGGTCTTCCTCTTTTTCACTGACCCTCTACTTTACCGAGCATGGTGTCCTTCTCCAGGGACTGGTCCCCCCTGATAACATGTCCAAAGTATGTGTGATGTAGTCTCGTTACCTTTGCTTCCAAGGAGCCTTCTGGCTGTACTTCTTCCAAGACAGATTTGTTCGTTCTTCTGGATGTCCATGGCATATTCGATATTCTTCACCAACACCACAATTCAAAGGCATCAATTCTTCAGTCTTCCTTATTCATTGTCCAGAGAGCTCTAGAAAGCTCTAAAGTTCTTGAAAAACAATATTCCCCCGTACCTGCTCTGTTTGCTGTGTGACAGCTGAGATGACAAAGTGGTTCTGGAGCCAGACAGCTGGGGCTCGAGTCCAGCTCTGCCCCTTACCCTGGGCCAGAGATGCAAGCACACCCTGCCTCAGTTTCCCCAGGTGGCTGATGACGCTGCTTGAGCCATATCGTTGTTACGGCAACTCGGAACATGTCAAGTGTTTAGATAGGGCTTGCTTGGCAAATACTCATTAAGTATTAGCTGCTAGTGTTGTTTTCTTAAAAAAATTATTATCGTTTTGTGATTATAATTTCTTATGCACTTTCTGTGTGCCAGGCGCCCCACAACAAGCCCATGAGGTTGGTCATATTTTCCCTGTTTCAGAGATGAGGCGGGTGATGCTCAGGGAGGTTATGGAAATCACACAGCCAGTCCCTGTGTGGGTTCTGCTCTCATCCCCACTCAGGTGTGGGCAACTGTGGACGGCTCCCAGCGAGGACCACAGGAATTGGGGTAGGGAGCCCTGTGGCTGGGACAGGCCTGCCTCTTGTCCCCATGTGCTGTGGGCAGCCATGTGACCTCCCTGAGCCCCAGAGTCCTCGCTTGAAAGTGGACGAAGTGGCCTAGTGCAGCAGCTCTCAAGTGCCCCCATGCGAGGGGGTGCTCTGTGGCCTGGCCCAGACTCCTGATCCGGACCCGCTGCGGGCAGGAGCAGGTGGCCACGGCTCTAACAGAACCCCGGTGATTCCACTGCACTCCGTGTGAGGGACCACTGGGCCTTGGGCCCCTCGGATGTGAGAGCAAGGGCCGGGCCCAGGGTGTGGCTGGTGCCAGGAGGGTCGGGAAGAAGTGTAGAGAAAGAGGTCGGGGTGTGTCCTGCGTGGACAGGGGTTTGGCATCGTGGCCCCTGGAGCTCTGAAAGCTGACCTCTGTCTTAGCAGACGACTCACACAGATGGCGCGACTCCCTCTGTCCCTCAGTGGCCCCTCTGATCACACGGTGTCTGACACGCTCTTCACAGCCCCAGAGGAACCTCAGGCGTCCTTTGAGAGTAGGCTGACTGCCCCCAAGCCCTGTGGGGTCTGGATGGTGGGCAGCAAGGATGCTCCCTGGTCCCCTGGCTGTGCACAGTCAGAAGCCCCAGGTGGCGCGAGCCCCAGTAGGACCTGCCCGTGTCCCTGCCCTTTCTCTGTCACGGTGCATTGGTGGCTATTCAGCAGCTTGACCTTTCATGGTTCCCTGCACCCTGCATCCTGCACAGACCTCCCTCCAGTCTAAGGCCCCCAGGCAGCTGGAGGGGGTCAGTCTTGGGACTGATCCTTTCTCGTCCACTAGGGGGGAGCCCGTGCACAGCTTGGCCACCCAGGTTCTGGGCTCCTGATAGATCAGTTCCAGGATGTGGCCGCTTCCTGGGTGCTGGCACAGGGCCAGGCATTTCACCTCTGTTAACCCGTTGGCCCTCTTAACTGCTCCCGGAAGGGGTACTGGTATTACCCCCATTTTCCAGCTGAGGAAACCGAGACTCGTTAATAACACTGACGGTCACAGGTACCCAGTGTCCCCCATGTGTCAGGTGGTATACTAGTTTACAGAATAGCCTCAATCTGCCCTCCCAGCTCACTTGGAAGGGAGAACTCCGTTTTTCAGAGAGGTGCTGAGGTCCCGGGAGGTGGAGTGATTGCCTGGGGGACTAAGGGGAGAAGGTAGAGGCATTGGATTTGGCCCAGGCATGTCTGGCCTCATACACACACTCCTTGCGGTCTCCGGGGGTACACTGTCACGAAGGGTAACTTAGAGAGTGCCTCGCTTGGTCGCCGCCCTCACGGGGCCTCTCTCAGAGAGAGGGGATGGCCAGATATGAAGGAACAGCCAGCCCTGACACCATGAGCCAGCTGTGACTGTTCCCTCGGGTGGGCCATGTCCATTCCCACCAGGCCAAGTTACCATGCTTTATGGGTTGATTTGTGTCCCCCAGAAAGAGCTGTTCAAGTCCTAATACTTGGTATTTGTAAATGGGACCTTGTTTAGAAATAGGGTCTTTGTAGATGTGATTAGTTAACACGAGGTCGTACAGGAGTGGGGGGGTGTCCTCATCCTATATGACTGGTGTCCTCTCAAAAGAAGAGACACAGAGGGAAGACATCCAAGTGAGGACGGAGGCAGAGATTGAAGTGATGTTGCCACAAGCCAAGGACTGCCTGGGGCCACCAGAAGCTGGATGGGGCAAAGAAGGATCTTCCCCTAGAGCGTCCGGGGGGAGCGTGACCCAGCTGACGCCCTGCTTTTAGAGTTCTGGCCTCCAGAACTGTGGGACAATGAACATCTGTGTTTTAACCCCCCTATTTGTCGTACTTTTAATACCCATACACCCCACCCCCGTGGGGTCCTTTGTCATGGCTCCCGTGCCCCCACCCATTCAGGCTCCCTTCCTCGGTAGCAGGAGGTGCCAGGAAGGGCCTGTCGCCAGCCTGTCCTCTCAGCCTCTCTGTACACGGTGGCTTCAGGGTCCCCCGCCAGCTCCCTGGGAAAGATATGCTCCGCAGCACTCCTCGGCCTCGCCTGTATCTATGCAAATCCACAGCCAACTGGATTGAAGGCAGATATGTATTTTTATGTAGATGAGACTCTCGAAGAGTGTTGGGCGCATCCTCGATCTTACAGGAGCGCAGCATCTCCACACTTGCGCTGCGTCGATTATATGCGGGTTCTGATCTGTGTCTGCATTTACATCTTCTTAATATGAAAAATGTCTGCATTGTTCCTTCGGTCTGCTGCCAGCTTCCCCTCCCCCGGCCCCTAGCTTCCCTGCTCCTGCCTCATCGTTTCTATTCTCTTGCTTCTGCTTTTTTAGCCACAAGTTTGGGAAAAAAATCACCTATTTCAACTACTTGAGCGAGCTCCGGGAACACCTCAAATATGACCAGCTGATCATCCCCCCAGAGGTTGTCTGGTGAGTCTTGCATTCCAGTCTCCCCGTCCAAGAACGTCAGGAGCTTATTGGCAACGTGCGCTCGGCCCGATTCTGCTCAGAAATCCGCCGCGTCGACAGAGACGAGCAGTCAAAGATGCTGACTGCTGAGTCAGAGAAGCAAAACGGTGTATGGTTTCCTACGGGGACGGGTGTTTCCTCCCCCACCACTGCAGCGCTCTCTCCATACGAAAACCCTAGTGGCCACTGCTATCTACTGACGGTTCTGGCTTTGGGGCAGAGTGTTTGGAATGAGATGCTCCCTGCACACGTGCTGTGAACGACAGCCCGTCCCGCGGCCCTTTGCTCCCCGCAAGCCTTGTTGATGTGTCTGCTACTTCATTTTATGCAGCACGGCACCCCCCTCCGACAGACTCTCACTGTAGACTTCGATGAGCAGAAAGCAGCCCGCCGGAGAAGGTGGTGGTGGGCCTTGGCCCCAGTGCAGGGCGGGGATGGAGGCCAGCCGAGCCTGCATCTGCCCTGTGCATCTCCCTCCTGGGGGGGCTCCTCTGCAGGAGCAGACCCTCAGCAAGGTGCAGGAAGTGAGGTAGGCAGCCCTGAAGGAGGAGTGGATACGTTGTGTCCACTCGTCCAGTGTTTGGGGTGCTCCCGCTGTGTGCTAGGCCACATGCAGGGTGCTGGGGGTACAGGGATGTGGAGGAGGGGTGCTCCCAGGCTAAGTGGGGGCCACAAGGCAACAGAACAGGGACTGCAGAAAGCACTGAACTCAGCTGGGGGGTGATGGCAATCAGGGGAGTCTTCCTGAAAGAGGTGACTTTTTTTTTTTAAATTTTGGGTGAGATTATACACAACACAGCACATACCCATTCAATAATTTTTACATGTCCAGGCCGTTGACAATGGTTACATACTTCGCACTGGGTCAGTTTTCTCTGTCCATATTGTTTTACCACCGTTAACTTAGGCTTGGCCCCTTGGAGAGTTCTCGTCTCTTTTAGAGTTACTCTTGTCCATTTGATCTCATACAGATGATTCTTGAAAAGAGCGTGATGCTCAAGATGAACATTCTTTATTAAATGAGGTAAATTGTCGTTATGTTTAAAGATGACTTGATGGGACAGTTTTGGTTCAAGGCTTAAAAGCTATTTTCAGGCAATAGATTTGAGGGTTTAGGAGGTGACCCTGGAAGTGAGCTTCAGAAGAACCATTGGCCAGATGGACAAGACAGGGAAGGTCCACTCCTGCAGAAGGAGTTTCTCGTGCAAACACACGTAAGGGACATGCCAGAGGTCGTCTCATGGGGGTCCCGGGTGCCAGGTGGAGGGGCTGGACTGGCCCCTAGGGCCGTGGAGAGGTGTGCATAAGGGAATCCCTGGTTGGCTGTGGGCTTTGTGGAGACCTCCTCCCCACCAGGCTGCAGTGGGGCCGGGGGCGTGGGTGCTGGCTGGGAGCCTGAGGTGGGCTCCAGAATGTATTTTTAGCAGCTTTCTTGGGGCAGTCTGGTGACAGAAGGTAACTTTGTGTCCTCTGGTATAGGAATGTGATGAAGGCTCAGCTGGGATGAAATGGGATGGTGTTGGGGAGACCCCCAGCCTGGCCTCTTCGTGGCCTTGAGTGGAATGCACAGGGGTCTGTGGTCAGAAGGGCACGAGGTGCCGGGAATGGGGAGAGGGCTTGGGCATTGGGAGCTCCTGCCTGGGGCCGCCAGGACCGCTGCTGCAGAGTCCCCACGGACACCCGGGATCCTGAGCTCTGGGTGGGGGTGGTGTGGGGGGCTGTGACTCTGCAGCTTAGAAACCACCCTCTCCAGTTGCTGTGAGCACTGAAGGCTGAGACCCCGGCACAGGGGACACGGTGGGCTTGGGGTCCTCAATCCGGGGCTGTAGTCCCAGCTGGCAACTTGTGCCGGTCACTGGGCCTCACCTCACCTTGGTCTCCCCATCTGTAAAGTGAGGGTGCAGAGCCCTCTGCTGTGGGGCCGTGGAGCCAGAGAACCCAGAGCCTGGCTCTCGGGGGCCACCCCGTGCAGGGAGTAGCCCACGTGTGCAATCGCGGCTCCCTCCTGCTCGCAGCCAGCTTAGCTTCAGCCCTTCCAGCAGGCCCTCCTGACCTCTGAACGCCCTCCCCGACGGCCCGCGGCCCCTCACTGTAGATTCCTGGGCACCCGTCCCCAGGGTCTGCACCCCTGTCCCGCCGGGGCGAGGTGGGGTCCATCTGGGTCACTGCTATAGCCACAGTGCCCAGCAAGTAGTAGGACCTCAATACATACGTGCTTGCGTGAAGGAAGGAAGGATGCCGTGAGCTAAAGGAAGTCAAAGTAGCGGGTAACCTGTTGAACGGTGACTTTTTTAAAAAAACATGGAGCTGCCCCCTCCTCATCACAGTGTATCCATTCTCCTCTCAGTTCACTTGTTCAGTCATGTTTTTATTCGCTTATCCGACAAACATTAAGCACCTATCATGTGTCGAGTGGACAGGGCAACGTTTGATTTTGTTACGCGTAAGGTTGTCGTGAATTGGAGCCGACTGGACGGCAGCTGACTACAACGACATGCGTCCCTGGTGCTGGGGATAAGACCGTGGACAGAAGGCCGAGGTCCCCGCACCCTTTTGAACCAGCTCGTGTCTGGAATTCACAAGGCCAGTGGCCACACGGCCTCCAGGGCTGACCCACGGCAACCAGGCCTGGAGGCTGAACCCTTTGCTGGTCACAGGGGGCCACCTGGTCTGGGGCTGGCAGGAGCAACCGGGCCTTAGAGAGGCCTTGGAGTGCCCTTCTCGCCATTTATGTGAAGACCTCAGTGCAATGGGGATTGTGTACGCACACGTGTGTATGTGTACACGTGTGTGTATACATGTGTGTCTGTGCATGTGTGTATGTGTACAGTGTGTGCATACACGTGTGGTTGTGCACGTGTGTGTGTGATGGGGATGAGGCAGTGCACGCGCGTGTGCGTGTGATCGGGATGTGGCAGTGCACGCGCGTGTGCGTGTGATGGGGATGTGGCAGTGCACGCG